CGACACATATGAATAAAATGACTTGTTCTTTCATTATCTCGATAAATATAAAAGTTATGTCATTTCAATCGTTCTTTGTAGCTTGTCAATCTTTTTGTATTATACATGTTAATAAGTCCATTATTAGAGGTCATTTCGTTGAAAAAATCAAATTACAGCAGATAACGACTGTAGTGTCGTTTTACATCGCGACTGCGAACCTTTTTTAGCAACAGCAGATTGAATTGGTGCATTATTGGTTGATGTTAAGTCATGGTGTTCGTCGTCTGGGTGAGTGCTATCCACTGGTGGTGGTGCGCGACCATGGGTGTCGCCGGAGGTAGGTTTTCCAGCAGAAGAAGATGCGCGAGAACTAGTTTTTTGGGCTGGTTTGTTGCTAATTCTGGTAGTTTCGTGGATAATGGTTGATTGGAGGTTGTAGATGAGAGTGAGACGAGGTTAGGGGTGGTGGAATCCGATGGTTTGGGTGACCGAAAAGTGGTGGAATGGAGCTCCATATGTGGCTGCTGAAAATGGGTGAAAATGAAGAAGAAAGAAGAATGTGAAATGAAAGAAGTTGGGTAAATAATTTGATATAAATTGAAGGACAATTTTGTCATTTTACCATTAAAACATTTTAATTTTTTTTTATTCTATTTTAATATTGGTCAAAGGCCATTTCTCCAAAATCATTGTTGAGGAATGTTATTTGGCCAAATTTCCCTTTTTTTATTAATAAACAATTGGAGGAAAGTACTTTTTTCTATTAGAATAATTCGGACATAACTAGTTCAAAATTACTTTTTATTAAGCCCGATTTATGCTATTAACACGAATTACAAAATGAGTATAACGTTAGCCCTTGTTTGAGCCCCATTTTTTTCATCAAAATACATTCTTGAACAGTGATTTCACTTCATTTCAACTACACATTTTTCAATAAAATAATATTACATGTAAAGCCAAAAAAATTTTCTTATTTTTTAGCCACGCATTCTCCATCATAACACTATTTCAAAATACATTTAAAAAAAAAAATGGGCCTCAAACAACCCTTTAATATTATTTTATCAACTTATATAATACTTAAATATTCAACCCAAATAAAATTTACAATAAAGTCTAGAAACCAAAGAAGAAATAAATCTTTTATACTAGGAAGTGGGTTAAGCTTATCACTTTAATTTTTTAACTTTAGTATGATCGACAAGTGTAGACATGAACTATTTCATTTGCTAAATGACCAATATTAAAATAATTAAATTTAGGCCCTATGGAAATATTCAGTAAACATTCATGGTGTCACATTTCTTGAAAAAAATTATAATTTTTGTATGACTACTTAGACTATCGGATTAATAATAATTTTTATTATTTTGCATGACCAATTTCGCTTGTTGACGATATTACTATTGCTATTTTGATGGAAATCAATATATACTGATAATGCAGGTGATGCTATCAACGGTGGTACAATCATCGATTATCGACACAATCAATCAACAAATAGCAAAGGCAATGTCATCAGTCGTGCTATCGATAATCACCGACAATGCTTCAGTCACTAATGGCAAGCCATGGATGTTACTCACAGAATTTAGTTTTTTTTTATGTTTTATTTTTTATAAGATACTGACATATAATATAAAATATCTTTTAAACATTTCTTTATAAAATTACTGGATTAGAAGTTGTTTTTAACTTTTATTTTGTTCTCAATATAATTTTCATCTAATAGTTAATTTTTATATGTTTTTTAACTTATTTATTGACGAAATCTTCTTTGATAAATTAATTTTGTAACATGCTTGTGCCTTTGAAGAATATGTATGCAGCTATATGAATGTATATGTAGAGAGAGAGAGAAATGGAGGAGTACCTTAGAAAATGTGAAAGAGTGACAGTACGAAGAAGAGCTATGGAGGAGGTTATGCAGCAGTTGATTTCAAGTAAGAAAAGGAAGTTGTACTCTGAGCTTGAAAATCAGTACTTTGGCGACGTGAATTTTCTGGAGAATTCAGCATCGCAAGAGGAGTCTGGGATCTCCGTCTGCACCAAGCATGACGACGTTGTAAAAGAACGAAATATTGATTTGCACTCCGAGGAATGTGAAAATGAAATTTCCAAGTCCATTTTCAGTAGAGAGATGACTCCAACAAGCGAGCTTCGTGGAGATTCCGATGAAGTGTTAATGTATTCATCATCAACGTTAAGAAAAAAGTTACCGAAGACTGTTACCGTTCATCGGAGGAAACCGACGGCGGGAAAAATGCCATCGACTGTGGAATTGGAGGAGTTCTTTTCAGCTGCAGAAAAGTACGAGCAAAAACAATTCGCTGAAAAGTACAACTATGATATAGCTTTGGATGTTCCTTTGGAGGGAAGGTACAAGTGGGAAGTTTGCAATTTACAGCCATGAATGAAAATCAATAAAAGATGAAGATCACAAGGCATCCTTTAATTTGATTCCCCGATTTGATTTTCTACTGATTTTAGGTGTGTACAGCAATTTCCATATTTATGTAAAGGAAGTAGAGATCCTGAATTTTCTTCTTCGTACAATATTTCTGAACTTCACACTCTATTTCCAAAGTGGATTCCATTTGCAGAATTTTGCTGCTTCTGAAATTGAAAAGGGCTGTTTGTTTCCGTTGTAACCACTTTTTTGTATTGTTCCATTTGGAAGGTAAGAATCTTCTTGTTCTTGCTTGCATGGAGAGTATGGGCATGAACACACACACACACACCCACGTGTTTGTGCGCGCGTGTGTGTGTGATTTGCATTTATGTATCATGGTGATCTTCATGTGCAGGAGGTAAGCTGGTCTTGCTGTTTTGGTGAGCTGAGTTTAATATTCCAACACTCCCCCCTTAAGATGGAACATCTTGAACCGTAGAAAAGGGGAGTAGAGATGCAATCAAGGAGCAACTGAACTGAAAGCATATTCTAACACTCCCCCTCAAGATGGAATATCTTGAACCATAGAGGAAGAGAGTAGAGATGCAATCAAGGAGCATCTTGTTTCATTTCAATTTCGTTTTTGATTCCGGAATAAATCATCCATCCTCACAGACACTTTGTCTGCCTTCAATTTCGTTTAATCTTCCTTCTCCTTTTGAGAAGGAATATTTTCAAAAAATTCCTTCAAAATCTTCATCACAGACACTGTCTGCCTTGGATCAGCACCTGTCTTCTCATTACAGATACTTTGTCGGGTTTCAAATTCATTTTGATTCCCTATCTGGGAATAAATCAACCATTTCGTGAAGATCTGATCTATCTTCAATTTCATTTCAGTTTGATGAAGAGGAACAACATCTCTTCTATTTTCATCCATTCCAACATTTCATCGAGCATCTAGTGAACCAAGTCAGTATGCTGTTTTCTAGTAATCCATTTTTCTGATTTCGATTTTTTTTTTTTATTGAATTGAGAAAAGATATAGAAGTAGATGAATTTCAGATGAAAGGATCTAAACGCTCTGATACCATATTGAGAAAACGACAATGATAGAAGCTGAAAACTAAAAGGGATAGAACCTGCTGTAGCAGCAGGGAAGAAGATGAAATTGTATTCATTCAACTTGGAAAAATTACATTGAACACTAATTTATTTATAGAGAAAATCTAACAAAGTAACAACTAATAACAAACTAAAGAAGAAACTAGAAGGATCTGGAATTGGCACCATAGTGAGCTGCTGGACGTGAGCTGAAGAGATGGAGGAGATCTGATGATGAGCTGGAATATTCTGTAGTTGCATGTGCTGGATATTTTAACAAAACTATTTATGCTTTCAATATTACCAACAACAAACTTTAGTAATCTTTAATTATATTTTTTAATGTCATTAATTGCAAACATGTTTTTCATGAAAAAAATAAAACAAATGCAAAAAAACGTAAATTTTAAAAATTGAGGGCTTTCTATAAATCTTAGCCATATGCTACCGCCTAACTTATCTAATACCAAAGTAGGGTTTATGTCTCTATCACAAAAGCGCACACAAAGATGGAGAAAAGTGCATGGAGAATTTGGATCTGCATATGCAAATACTCCATTTATAATCATTCCCGTCTGAGGAGCCGTCAAACAGAGAATCTTCGCGTCGTTCTTCCGAAAACTATAGCAGCTTAATGATCTTCTTCAACATCCTGAAAGCATCCCGTTGATGACTTGATCCACACATCCATTTCGCCTTACATTGTTGGCTATCAATATTGAGTATCAATTAATGTTCATGCCAGAATCATTTCTTCTACCTCGTTATTGTTGAATAATGAAGAATGAATCACCAACTTGATTAAACAGCACTACAAGAAGAAGAATGATGATGAAGAAGAAATAATCTTAACTAGCTTGAATCGCATATTAACGCTGTCATAAAACGTTACTAGCCCCTCTCTAAGAATTTTATATGCTTTAAGGACTCCAAATAAATAGTTTTAGCGGATTCTTCAAGCCTTAATTCGGATTGCAAAAGCACAAATGATAATAATAATAATAAAAAATCTGTGAAATATGAATTTTGATTTTTACAAAAAGATTGAGAATGTATATATGAAATCTGTTAGCAAACTAGCCAGAATTATATTTGTTCTGATATCAATTGTTAGGAAAGCTTCGCCATGACATATGATGGATTTTGGGCGTTTGACATCGTCTTCCTAGTCAAAACAGCATTTTAAGTTTCGTAATTCGTTAATTTTAATGTTTATTTGTTTTGTTTTGTAGCCCAGCCCATTTAGGACTGTTGGTCCAGTAGGTTAACTGTTTTCTTTCATATTTAAAGCTCTCCAAACTTTTGTAGGTTTTTGAATGTTCAAGAAATAAGAAAAGGACGTGAATTTTTTTAGAGAGCAATCCGTTTTCACTTTATTATTGTTTGGTTTGTAGTTTCGAACTACATCAATTTTTGTGTCAACCTTACCTTAATGCAAAACATCTCAAAGCATTATCGAAATCTTGAGACCTTAGTACAAACATTCAAAGTATTATCGAAATCTTGGATAGCTTTAAGCTTAAAACATGTCATTCCATTTGACAATACCAGCAATTTCACACGCGAACACTCTAGTTCTATTTGTTACTTGAGAATCTTTCTTACCACTTTAAAGTCCAAACACTGATCCATTTTCCTAAACCTTTTAGAAAGGAACTCCAACTTTCATTTGAACTGTCATCGCTTCTAAGTTGTGAAATTCTTTCAATATCTTCATTACATTTAAGACACTTGTACTGAGTATTGAACCCTATTAAGATTTTTTAAACTCAACCCTCCAACCATAAAACCATCCCGCACATCAACATAAATTATGAAGTGCTAGGAACTATCCTACTTATCGAATGACTTGTTAACTTTTGAACCTACTATTAGTAAGCATGTACATTGCACGTCTTATGGATAGGATGAATGATATGAGTAATATTTTGATGCTAAAAAATCGGGTATCGCACTGGATACCACTTAACAGTTCACGAATTACCAATTTAACGGCTTTTAAGTTATCGAATGATTGTTACTTATCCATTTTTAGTTTTGATCCTATGTACGGAATTAATCAATAAAAAATAACAAGTCACCTTTAATTGTTTCTAGATGACTAAGCATACAAGTCCAATTTGCAGTAATAAGGAAAGCAATAATAAACACCGATATGATGATTAAAAAAAACCCTAACTGAGTAAAAACTATGGGACTAAGCCAGTTACCTCCACTATAGACAATAGGGGTAAGTAACAGTCAGACGCTATCTAACAAACTCCACTAGACTTTTCGATCTATTTTCTGCTAACTCCAAGATCTGCTACAAGACCTAGTCCAAGATCTGCTCCAAGATTTTTTTGCAATTGTCTCTTCACATTGGAATTTCAAGAACATTCTCTAAGGCCTTGTGCTCTTCTTGCTATTGTTGTCCAACATCTCTCAACTTCCAGAAACTTCTGAAATCCAACTGAGAGAGTACCTTCCTATGACCAATAGGAAGTAGGTGGTGTTTCGAATTCAATTGGTTTGATGTTTTCCCCAAATATGTGGTTGTATGATCTCAAGAAGAAAAGATGGAATCAATGTATAAATAGGCTATTGGATCTTCAAAGGATAATATGAATTTGTTTAGAAAATAAGCACAATGAACAATCACTTCTCAATTCGTGCATAGGCTTGGATATTCATAGGGGATGGTAATTAGGTTGACCACGCGATAAGCAATCTGCTTTTACCGCTCAAGCGCCAACTCGATGAGAAGCTAGCAAAAATGTGACATCGTGTTTCTCCTCTTTTTATGCTCGAACCCTAAACCTCATAACCCAATTTGTATAAATTGTACCCTAGGTTCTTGACTTTTACAACGCATTACAAATTAGTCATTTTGTCCACAGAATCGCCAACACTAAAAACCTAACATATGTGAATCCACGTAACAATTATAGCTATGAAACCCATGAAAAATTATATCTAGCCCAAGAAAGTTAAGAATCAACGTTTGAAAGAAAGTTCGACCAAATAAATTATTGCACTAAAGAACTAAGACAATTGAAATATTATATTGATCACGTAATCACAAAATTTATGAACCTTACTTAATTGTTGAACATCACAAGCATTTAATTCTTAATAAGTTTGGAATTAATTTGATGAAAAACAAGTAGAAAGCAATATATCTTGAAATAATATCTCTCAAATTGCCTGTTTTTACAATTAATGGAACGAATTCTATTTATATGAAATCCATAAAACCTAGCTTAAAGCGGAATTACACCTAAAAGATACCATAAAAAGAGTTTAACTAAAATAGAAAACTGAATACCACTTAACAGTTCACGAATTACCAATTTAACGGTTTTTAAGTTATTGAATGATTGTTACTTATCCATTTTTAGTTTTGATCCTATGTACGGAAATAATCAATAAAAAATAACAAGTCACCTTTAATTGTTTCTAGATGATTAAGCATACAAGTCCAATTATCCTATATTTGAATACTGCAATAATAAGAAAAGTAATAATAAACACCGATATGATGATTAAAAAAAACTCTAACTGAGTAAAAACTCTGGGACCAAACCAGTTACCCCCACTATAGACAATAGGGGTGACTAACAGTCAGACGCTATCTAACCAACTCCACTAAACTTTTCGATCTATTTTCTGCTAACTCCAAGGTCTGCTACAAGACCTAGTCCAAGATCTGCTCCAAGATTTTTTGCAATTGTCTCTTCCCATTGGAATTTCAAGAACATTCTCTAAGGCCTTGTGCTCTTCTTGCTATTGTTGTCCAACATCTCTCAACTTCCAGAAACTTCTGAAATCCAACTGAGAGAGTACCTTCCTATAACCAATAGGAAGTAGGTGGTGTTTCGAATTCAATTGGTTTGATGTTTTTCCCAAATATGTGGTTGTATGATTTCAAGAAGAAA